TTTTCTGACACAGTAGAACTTGGCTAAGCCTCCGTTTTGTGAGGACCTATGCCCTGGCACTCCACCCTGCCTGCCACAGGCCCCACGCCAGATTAACTGATATAAGCACCAAACTTCAGAGACAAATTGATAAAAATACAATTATTTCTTTTATAGTCTTCCCTTCCACCCTTCTTCCTTTCTCCATTTACAAAAGCTTTGTTTCCATTATTAGGAATGCAGTTATTGCAAAGCATTAAAAGGAAAAGAATGTGGAGCATTAAATGGGCACACCCTTACTCTGTGTGCCCTTAGGCCCCAGAGGGCTTGTTTATTTGTTCACATGTCTCACCAGCTTGCATCCCAGTCCTCAGTTGCCAGCTGCCATGCTGGGGATTGGGGCTAATGAGTTTCTGTCTTATATTTGCATTGGTGAAAAGTAAGCTATTTTCTCTTTGTAAACCAAAATATCTCTCACTAATTATTTAATGTCCCTTTTGACCTTTCTCTTTTCCTTTATCCCCAAAAAACAACAACAACAAAAAAAGACAGGTGTCTCCATGATGGATCCAAACCATTTCCTGATGATAATGCTCAGCCGCTTTGAACTTTATCAGGTCTTCAGTACGCCAGATTATGGGAAAAGATTCAGTTCAGAGATCACCCATAAGGTGAGAGCACGTTTTGCCAGACCACAGCAGGTCACTGAAGAAGTGTCTTTCTTTCTGGATGTTACTCACCTGAGAATGCAGTATACATACTCTTTTCTCTAATCCCTCTTGTAGGATGTTGTTCAGCAAAACAATACTCTAATAGAAGAAATGCTATACCTCATTATAATGCTTGTTGGTAAGTTTTAATCATTTAAAATATTTGTAAATTGTGTTGGATTTTGTGACAGCAAGTAGTTTGGAATGTCTGACTTGTGTTTCTTTTGTTGGGAGATAATTAGCAGTTTTAGGGAAGGAAACTGGAACTTTCTCCTGTTCAACCCTGTGGACTGTAATGTTCAGAGCACCTAGTCTGTACTTCCTGCTTCCTGGCCTGTGGTCCTTGCTCTGAAGTAGCAGCCAGAGTCCTCCTGCCAAAAGCCAGCACTTGCTTCTGTATCTGAGATGCAGAAGTGTGGTCCGGAGCTGCTCTCTGCTCGCTTGTTCCCAGTCAGGCATGCTTTCCCACTTCAGAGATGGAAACAGGAATGTGTTGTCATGCTGCATGAGTTACTAGTGTATGTTGCCTAAAGATTGTAATTGTGCTAATGTGGATGTACACCTTATTTTACAGGTGAGAGATTTAGTCCTGGGGTTGGACAGGTGAATGCCACAGATGAAATTAAGCGGGAAATTATCCATCAGCTGAGCATCAAACCTATGGCTCATAGTGAATTGGTAAAGTCTCTACCTGAAGATGTAAGTACCTACATTGTGTTGGTTATGACAGGGTCCCTCTATGTAGTTCAGACTGACTTTGAACTCATTGTCTAGCCCTGGCTGACGCCAGG